AATATTTTCTCCAGCATTGAGTGTTTAATATGCGTCCGGAATCATTCGCTTATATTTCATTACAATTCAACGAATTTATTTTTTATACGTTAATATAATCACTACTGAGTAATAATAAAAAATTGGTCGCGCGAAATAATTAATTAAATCACACAACAAGCGGGAAGGACAATTCATTGTTGCCTCGGCAAGTTGCTTAACGCGACACCCTGCCACACACGCACTCCAGAAACTCAGTGCGAGCTATTCCAACTTACGTACGCATACCCGAAGAAGGTAATGTTTTTTAAATATAAGGACGCACAATTTTAAACGAAATATATGGGAGGGTGATTGTTATTTGTATCAGCAAGCTAGTTGGTGTGTCACCGTCCAATACACGCACAGGCTATCATTAAAAGAATTTAATGGGCAGTGAGGAAAGGGGAGTATTTTTTAAGGGCGCGTGTAGTAGGCGGGCAATCACGCGTCCTAGAGTAAACACTGTCTCATCCCGGATTTTTGGTAGCCCAGTTGGGCTACCGAATTTGAAAAGTGGTAGCCCCAAGAAAGAAACTGGTAGTCTGTGGACGCGGGGCTACCGCTAATTTCGAGCCCTGCCTACTGTTAACCTACTGCAGGTCACATGACCTACTGTTGAACCACCACACATCAGGTTTCTCTGTTCTCAACAATGCCTGTTTACTAGGAAAGTACTCCTACTTAATCCCAAACAGTACCCATATACAAGTTTCTGAATGATTTGAAAATACATAAATTTCAAAATTAAATCAATAAATTTTTCCATTAGATATATTTCACATCAGAGATTAACTTGCACAAACACGTGACTTCATATTTAATTTCCCATGGAAACACGTCACAACTTTTACCCTTGTGTTCCATTTACAATGCATATATATGTTTATGGGGAATTCTACCAAGCTATAATGGTGAGGCGATGGTCAAATAAATGAACTTTGGCTGACAAAGATGCTGTTCATTAGCCTTTTTGTTATCAATAAAACCTGTTACCATGATAGGATTGTTTTTCCAGACTATTAAAGTAGGTGATTTGTGGTTGATTGCAATATGTACTACGATACATACATGAATTTTGAGCCTTATATTTAATTTCTACAGAATTGATGAAGAATTAATTTGGTGAAAATATTTAGGGATGTAAAAATATAACACACTACTCCTCTTCAATAGCGGTTCTCAAGCATCAGTTTATGCAAATATCAGGATGCCTTTAGGGTGTAGCTAGATTGAAAAGGAAAGAATATTCTTTTTACTGATCTTATCTACAAATTTGAATAGTAAAGCTACGTATATTGATTAATAGGGAAGAGAACCTAACAAATCAATATTTGGTCAAAGATAAGGACAATCTATGACGTACATCAAGTAACCTTATGTAATTTATTTGATGTATTATTTTGCATTTTCCTAGATTCATCTGTTTTCAGGTTTTTTAAGCTTAAAGACACTGTTTTGTTCATTGGACGTTTCTATTTGTCCGGATTTGTCCGGATTATAATTCAGTTCTATTGAAATTAAGTTATGGCCTAAGCAACTAAAAGCGGGGATGGGAAGGGGGTTTCATCACCTACACATGCGTCAAACGGCCATAACGTGTTGTAGTTTACAAACAAGCATCTACCCACAAATCTTTAAGTTTTAGCATTTGTTGTTAACTTTGCTTTCTACTCATTTCCTATGCATGCTCAGGTGACATCCCTTCAGCTTTAAAAAATTGTCAGCGAATTATAGGAAAACAATAACAAATTAATTATTCAATATTCTTGGGCAGACATCTGGGAATTTTCATTGCCTGGCAACCATCAAGCAGGAAAATGTAATTTAATTATTTTCTTCACTTTCAGAAAAAGTCAAGAATGGATTAATAGAATCTGTGTCAGCTTCTGATTTAATTAAAATCCATAAGAAAGATTTGCTTGAAAGAAAAAGAGCACAAAAAAGAAAACTATCAGCTGTAACCTCTCCCAATGTACCTCTTCCACCTATGCTTGGTAGAGGAGTAGGTGATGATCAGCAAGTATTTCTAGATTTTAGTCCACCAAGTAAATCGTCTGCCAAGGTAAGGATTCAGTTCAATGTGCCTCTTAGGGATAGGGAATCAGATTTACCTTTGTGTCTCTGTCTGTCTGTCCATCTTTCTGTCTGTACTTTAAAGATATATGTACATTTATGATAGTACTTACTGGTAGGATACATTATTGCCAGACTATTTGTTAGCAATCCTATTCAAGATGGTCGATTGATGGCCATTTATCCTATTCAAAACAGCCGATTGATGGCCATTTATCCTATTCAAAACAGCCGATTGATGGCCATTTATCCTATTCAAAACAGCCGATTGATGGCCATTTATCCTATTCAACACGGCCGATTGATGACCATTTATTCTATTCAAAACGGCCGATTGATGGCCATTTATCCTATTCAACACGGCCAATTGATGACCATTTATCCTATTCAAATCGACCGATTGATGACCATTTATCCTATTCAAAACGGCCGATTGATGGCCATTTATCCTATTCAAAACAGCCAATTGATGACCATTTATCCTATTCAAAACGGCCGAGTTATGGCCATTTATCCTATTCAAAACGGCCGATTGATGGCCAGTCATCCTATTCAAAACGGCCAATTGATGACCATTTATCCTATTCAAAATGGCTGATTGATGGCCATTTATCCTATTCAAAACGGACGATGGCCATTTATTCTATTCAAAACAGCCAATTGATGGCCATTTATACATCCTATTCAACACGGCCGATTGATGACCATTTATTCTATTCAAAACGGCCATTGATGGCCATTTATCCTATTCAAAACAGCCAATTGATGACCATTTATCCTATTCAAAACGGCCGAATTATGGCCATTTATCCTATTCAAAACGGCCGATTGATGGCCAGTCATCCTATTCAAAACAGCCAATTGATGACCATTTATCCTATTCAAAACGGCCGAATTATGGCCATTTATCCTATTCAAAACGGCCGATTGATGGTCAGTCATCCTATTCAAAACGGCCAATTGATGACCATTTATCCTATTCAAAATGGCCGATTGATGGCCATTTATTCTATTCAAAACAGCCAATTGATGGCCATTTATCCATCCTATTCAACACGGCCGATTGATGACCATTTATTCTATTCAAAACGGCCCATTGATGGCCATTTATCCTATTCAAAACAGCCAATTGATGACCATTTATCCTATTCAAAACGGCCGATTGATGGCCATTTATCCTATTCAATGTGGCTGACTGGTGGATATTTCAGTGCTGTAAAGCAAACCTATCAAGCATTTCTACCATTCCAGAATTAGATCTTGGTCATGCATGAACTATTTCACTGAAACACGAGATGTACCTTCAATTATGCTATAAAGTTGCATGTAATTGATTTATAGAGCCGAGCTACTGCATTCTGGAAATCCAAAGGTCCTGCATCAAGAGATGATCCCAATGCTGTTGGTAAGAAGATAACACCAGATAAAGTTACACAGATAAACAAAAGAGTTGAGCGAGATAGGAGGCTTTCACAAGATGGTAAGCATACACACAAGTGATGTTTCGATTGTGTTGGATCCACTTTCAACACATTTACATGGTTTATTGATTGAAATGAAGACATTTATGGTTATTGTGTTCTTGAGCTCTTATTTGAAAGTATCCATAGCTGGTGGCACATAATTGAGAGATTGATAATTATGAGAAACTTATCCTGTCATTTTTTGGGTTCAATCTATTTGGATGTATTTTGAAAATTAATCATCTGTGCATCCAATGGAATTCCTAGGTTATGCATTAAATCAATGCATTGACTCAAATACGTTTACTACATATCTTTATACATAGAATCACCCCCAAGCGAACAGCCTAGGAAGAAAAAGAAATTTCTCGGCACGGACTTATCAGAGATTGATAAGCACTCAGAGGAGTTCCAAAACATGGTGAAGGCAAAGTCAAAGCATTCTGAACTTGTACATGAGGTGAGCTAGTATAACAAGCTTTGAGCAGCGTAAATGGTTTGTTACAGAGTTTGGAGTCTAGTCCACTTATTTGAATTACTCGAACGGTTAGTCAGCAAGATGGATCTCAACTTTACAAAACACTTTATTGTTTACTTTGTTCTAGACTTAATGGCACTGTTTGACAAATGGCATGCTGTGTATGATTACCTATTTCATAGGGTGATGAACATAATGATTTAGTGTCAGTAATTAGTCCCTGTCCGTCCGTCCGTAGTCGTATCTCAGAATCCCTTAGACCGATTTCGTTCATTCTTTGCATGTGCCTAGTACTTTATCTGGGACATATGCACATGCAGTGGTTTAGCGATTCAATTCAAAATGGCCGACTGGCAGCCATCTTGTTTTTTTGAAAAAAATGTTAATGTATTTTGGACATGCTTTGTCAGTTTTCATTCAAATTTGGTACATAGATTATACATGTTAGGATACATGTCCATGACAATTTATTTCACAATTGGATCAAAGATGGCCGACTGGCAGCCATCTTGTTTTGTTTTTTTTATGCGGTATCTTGGAAGTGCTCTGTCAGTTTTCATTCAAATTTGGCACATACATGTTTTTTATACATGTTAGGATGCATGTCCATGACAATTTGTTTCAAAATCTGGTTTTTTGGACATGCTATGTCAATTTTCATTCAAATTTAGTACATCGATCATACATGTTAGGATACATGTCCCGACCGTCCGTGAGTTCCTGAGTCTGTCCGTCCGTTCGTGAGTTCCTGAGTCTGTCCGTCCGTTCCTGCGTCAGTCTGTCAATAGTAATATTTCAGAATCCCTTGGACCGATTCCATTCATTCTTTGCATGTGCCTAGTACCTTATGTGGAACATATGCACATGCAGTGGTTTAGCGATTCAATTCAAAATGGCCAACTGGCAGCCATCTTGTTTTTTGAAAAGATGGCTGGACATGCTTTGTCAGTTGTCATTCAAACTTGGTACATAGATTATACACGTTATGTTACATGTCCATGA